CCAGGCCAGCCTCTCGCCAGCGGAGGCAGAGCTTTCAACGCAGCTCTTTTATACGCTGGTGAAGCTGCTCCAGGGCAGGGCCCTGGACATAGCCCAGAACACCGACCTGGGCAATGGCTTGGAGGTCTATAGAAAGCTGGTGAGCGAGTACAGGCCCCGGTTGGCCAGCCGGTTTGTGGGGACGCTCACCCAGCTTATGAGCCACAAGTTTACGGCCAGCCTCGAGGCCGAGATCCCCTTCTTTGAGAAGCTTGTTCGGCGGTATGAAGCCGAGACGGGCAAGGTGCTTGATGATACCATCAAGCTGGGGATTATCATCAACGGGCTCCAGGATGATTCCCTAAAGCAGCACGTGGTGCGAAACTCGGCCAGGCTGAAGACGTACCAGCTGCTGAAGGACGAGCTGCTGGAGGTGGCTCGCACAAGCAGGGTCCTGTCGGAACAGCCGGTTCCGATGGACCTGTCGGCGCTTCCAAAGTGGAAGCAGAAGGCCCCAAAGGGGGCAAAGGACAGTGCCGGCAAAGGAAAAGGGAATAAGGGGAAGGACAAGGGTCAGGGTTCAGGTAGCGGCAAGCCTAGTGGACCCCAAAAGCCCCAAGGTTCCCAAGGAGGTGGCCAAGGTCAAGGTAAAGGGAAAGATGTCATCTGTTGGTATTGTGAAAAGAAGGGCCACACAAAGGCCGAATGTAGGAAAAAGCAAGCAGATGACAAACAGAAGGCAGGCAAGGGAAATGGCGGTAAGCCCCGCAAGCCTCATGCGGCGAGCCCCGCTGAGGAAGAACCCGAGCCCATGCTAGCAAGCCCTACCTTGGCCGAGGAGCGCGGCTACGTTGCAGCGGTAACGCTGCCCCAGGAGGCCCAGGGTTTCAGGGATGTTCTGGTTGATACGGGGGCAGGGTCGCACCTTTTTACTAAGGGGTTTGATAGTTCGGCTCAAGCAGTGGGTGGCCCCACGGGAGCCGGAATGGTCACTGTGACCGGGGAACCCCTAAGTACGGGTGTAAAGAAACGTAGCAGGCTCAAGACCTTGGATGGCCAAGGCTTTTCGGTTGAGTATGCCGAATCAGATAAAGTGAATTTTTCAGTTTTGTCCTCGGGCCTTGCGGCCAGCAAGGGGACGTGGACCGTGATCGGTCCAGATGTGCAATGTCTGATTTTGGACAAAAATGCACACAAGGTCAGAAGGGCCTTGGGGTACACCAAGACCATAGAGCTTCAGAAGAAGCGTGGGGTGTACTGGCTGCCGGTTCAGAGCGATGAGGGCAAAGGCCCAGAGCCCACCATTTTGGCAGCAACCAAGGCAGCTAAGAAGGTGGTGCCAGCAGAGGCAATGCGCCTCGAAGAAGATGCGGGTGGAACCGCCCAGGGCCAAGCTGCGGATGGAACCGCGCTTGGCGAACCACCAAAGGAAGACTCGGAGGGCCCAACAGAGGCAAGCTCGAGCAGAGGGCCAGAGATCCGAGAAGCGGCGGATAGACCCGCGCTTGGCGAACCACCAGAGGAAGACTCGGAGGCCCAACGCAAAACCAGATCGAAACGCATTCCAGATCTGGTTTCCGAGCAAGAGTATAAGGATCACATGATGACCCATCTTCCTTTTCGTTCGTGGTGTGACCATTGCATTGCTGGAAAGTCCCGAGAGGATTCCCATCCACTGCGGGAAGCACGCAAGTGCAAAGGGGAGGTGCCACGCTTTTGCGTCGACTACTGTTTTCTGGGTCGGGCGCTAAAGGGCGAGATGCCGAAAACGGCAGAAGCACTGAAGGAACCCCTTGATGCAGAGGATGGGCAGCGACCAATCCTGGTTATGGTGGACCAGGAGACGGGAGCAACCTTCTCCTACTTGGTCACAAAGGGGGTCAACAACTACGCCGTTCACGTTATGAGTGAAGCCCTCAAGTTTGCTGGAAGGCAACGGGTGCTCATTATGTCGGACGGTGAGCCCGCGATCCGGGCACTGATCGATACGGTGGCCAGACAGGCCGGGAAGGAGACACAGGTGCAGCACGCACCAAAAGAAACACATGGACCCAGCAACGGCGCAGCTGAGCGAGCTATCCTGGAGGTAGCGCGCCAAGCTAGGACGCTGGTCCATGCCCTCGAGACGCGTTACCCGGGCTACCAGCTCAAGGGTGACTCTGAGGTGTTTCCTTGGGTGATTCGCCACAGCGGGTGGCTTATCACAAGATTTCTGATCAAGGCCGATGGGAGGACACCCTACGAAAGGCTCAAGGGCCGGGAGTACAAGGGTGAAATAGTGGATCCACTCGAGACGGTTCACTATAAGATTGATAAGGACACAAGGGGCAAGCTGGATGCCCAAACCTCCATCGGGATTTGGTTGGGAAAGACGCTCAGCGCGGATGAGCACGTGATCGGGACTCCCCAGGGCATACGTAAGTGCCGATCAGTTTGGAGGAGGCCGGAACCTAGAAGGTGGGAGAAACACCGACTGGAGGCAGTCACCGGCACGCCGTGGCAGCCTAAGGGTCAGGCGTTGGTGGTCCCCGGTGACAACAAACCACTCACCTTACCCGACGGGCGCAAGGTGAGGTCTGCGTATATCACCTTGGAACGCCAGATCAAGCATGGTCCCACTCCAGGCTGCCCGGGATGCAATTGCCTGGCTGGGGAGGTGAAGCCTCATAACGCGGAGTGCAAGAAGAGGTTCAATGAGCTTTACCCTCGTGAAGCAGCAGCTTCCAGAGAGGAGCCTGGTGAAGAGGGAGCTCAGGCCGTGGAGGGGGATGATATGGATCTCACCGAAGCGGAACCCTCTGGTGCGGGTGGCACCGCCCAGGGAAGTGCAGCGCAGGGCTCGGGAGGAACCGACCCAGCGCAGAGCAGAAAGGACCTTAAGAAGCAACTGGCCGACAAGGCCAGGGAGCGGCGAGAAGCTGCCCAGCAGCAGCCCCAAGAGGAACCCAAACGGTTCAGGCAGACGCAAAAGGGAGCCAAGCGAACGGCAGAAGTTTCCTTGGAGGAAGCGGCTGCAGAGGCAGCCCAAGAGGAGGTGATAGGAGGTCTTCCTACCCTCCACGAAGAGTCGCTGCTGGCAGCCTACCCAGAGGATGGGCTGCTAGACAGCCAAGGGGCCTTTGACGAAAGGACGGGTGAAGCACTACCTGTCGAAAAGGTCAAGAAGGCCCGTGGCCGCGAGCTCGACAAAATGATCGAGCACGGAGTGAAAGAGGATATCACCTGGGAAGAGGCAAAGCGCCGAGGACTTAAGATAGTCAAAAGCAGGTGGGTAGATGGTTGGAAGCCACTCCCAGACGACCCCCAGGGAGTCCGAAGTAGGTGCGTGGCTCAAGAAGTCAACGTGAGCCAGAGGGATGACGTAGCATCCGGGACGCCGCCGCTGAAGGCACACCGGATGGTTATCTCTCACGCGGCTACGAAAGCCCCAGGAGCGCGTGAGAACAAGAAGCTTGTCGCCAGATACGACGTGTCGGTGGCATTCTTCCACGCGGACGCTACTGGGAAGATCGCTGTGGTCCCACCAAAGGACCTGGACCAAAGTTTTCTGTGGTTCCTCAACAAGGC